AGATACTGGCTATATTTCAGCACTGTAACTCCTCAAGCTCCTAGCATCTAGGACGTCCTGACAGACAAGTCATCAGAAATAAGTGATTCACACTTCAAAATGATGGAATCCTTACTTCTGCCCACAAGGTTTCCTGTCCTGATACCAGTCAAAGTTTTACCTTCAGTTTAAACTAGACCTTTGAAAAAATCACTTCTGTGACATCTGAAAGAATGATGGTAATGTAATCCTAAGGTATTCTTCTTTCAACGTATTTCATCTTCTTTGTGTCTTGCCCAGTAGCTTCTTGAGCAAGAATAGCTTTCTTTGCTCTTTTGAATTGTTTCTCACTAAGCACACTGATCCTGCCAAATAAGTGTAAGCGTTTTTATTTTCTGATTTTCCAACCGTCATAAAAATTCCTGTATGGGAGAATTTCAGAGTGTCCCAGTTTCAGCAGTTTTTATGTAGTTTACACTAAGGAATAAGGTTTAGCATCACAAAAAGAGTCTGATTGCAAGGTATTTCAGCTAAGAGATTTGGGTGTTTTTGGAACATTAATTGCCTTTTTAATTCACAAGGTATGCTACCAGCAGCATCCTTAGTGAGATCACATCCCATCTGGCATAGAAAATGATACAGACCTTCACAGTATGAGTTTCTGCAGCAAGTTTTCAGTAGTACTCTTTCTCACTGGTCACTGACAGTGTTCTCACTTTGGTTGCATGCTCTGACTCTTGTATCATCTCTTTCAGGCACTTTTAGGATTTGACAGAGTTTGCACAACATTTTGTCAGCAACGTGAACGCCTGCAGCAAGGACAGTTTTGGAAGTGCTATCCACTGATGTGATTGAAGGTAAAATGCTCTTTTCTGTCATTGCCCTCCGTTTGCCACATATCCCCTGTGAAGCCTCATGCCCTGGCTGGGTGGCCCCTTTTTCTGCCTGTCCTGGTTGGTGAGGTGAGAGCAGGATAGGCCTCAGTTTGGTGCATGTCTGAGCATCTTCCAGGTTTATCCTTGCTTCAGGTAATAGCTCTTACTAACCATGGCTCAGCCAGTCCCATAAAATGTGGGTTTGCCCCTCTTCTGAACGAAATCTTTGCTTGCATCATGCAACCTGCCTGTTTTCCATAGCCACATAAGTACTTCATGTTCTTGAATCCTGAAGTTGGTCTTCATTCAAATACTGTTTTGCCACCAGGAATTTCACAGATCAGTTCTGTCCTCTGCTCAAAACCTGAAATAAAAGTGTGTGCATTGTTTCTGAGCGCTTCCTCATGGTAGATGGCACTTGTCAACCTATATATTGCTCCATCACTGACCTTGTTAGTGCCATCACAAATAGCTGAAAGTGAGCTGTGTGTTCCCTCCATGCCTCCAGAAAAGATCAGTATGGTGTGGTCCTGCAACTGTAGCAGTTGCGTTTAAGACAATTTTCTCTAAAAGTAGTTTTCTCACAGAAAAGCAAGCACAATATTTTTTCCCACCCTTAACTGATATCTTTGTGCTTCATTAAATCTAGGGGAAGTAAATGCATCTCTGAATTCACTGGTTCAGAGTGGGTGACTCATCCACCAGAACAAAATTTATTCTTTGTTTGTAAATGCTATTTATTCCATGTTTTGCATCACTATGGCTACTGTATGTCATTGGTGATATCAGCATCTACCATACATAAGGTGACCACAAGACCGAATTTAAGAGATATAGTTCTTACAATAATTTGTTTCTATCAGCCATTTTTCTGATGTATGTTAATAAGTCTCACATAAAAGCAGCACCAAAAGTGGCTCAATATTTTTCCATCAAAAGTGGCTGGAAAATAAAAAATTCTCCTGCACATAAATTGTATCATAATTAAAAAAGCCCTAAGCAGCCACCAACTCCCCTTTTCAGATTCTGTGGCTTTATAAACGACTCAGTGATGTCCTACAGGTGATTTCAAAGTTTCAGGTGAACAGATTTGCAGTGGAATTCCCAATTTTACATCTAGTTATTTTTAGAGTTAAATACCTAGTTAAGCTTGTTAGAAGCATCACTGCTTTCACAGCCAATATAGATTCTTCTGCTTTCCTTTACTGTTTCTAACTGGAGACTGAGAACAATTAATCTATTCCAGTTAAAGCTTAATTCCTTTGCCAATTGCATGGACCCATGTTCTTCTTTGAAACACATCAAGTACAATCACTTCTGCCATCCTATTCAATCAAAGCCTTCAGTTGCACAGATTTTGTGAAATGGCCTGGGCTTTAACATCTTGGGAGCTGATTCAGTGAGGCATCTGCTGTAACTCTGGAAGGACTGTCATCATTTTCCTAGCCAGAATCATTTGTCTTTGTCATTTAGAAATAATCTGCAGGGTATAATGTGGTCTTAGGGGAGCACAGAGCCCATTATTGCTCAATAATAGAATTTCATGAGGTCTTAACAACTTCTTTGAGCTCATATGGCACATTTGACAGTGCATGTGTGAATGTTCTGTGGAAAAAGGACAGAGAAGGGTTTTAAACACTTGGTACTTATTGAAAGGCTGCTAAAATAAACCAGCCAGCTGTGGGCAGCTGCAGAAGTCTGCTGGTGACTGGTGGGGACCAACCCCCAGGACACACAGCAGTGGGACATGTCTTCTCCATGGTAGCCAAGCCCAAGACTTCATAAATTCCATCCCCCACCCAAAGCCTCCAAGATTATTTTTACCCAGACACACGCTTTCTCATTTCCTTTTCTCTGCAGTCCAGGACAGCTGGGGATTGGGCACTGAATTCCAAAAAGGAACCAAAAAGAAAGATGTTCATCTTGGACACGGTCAGAGCAGTGGGCCCTTGCTCCCCCAGGCTCATGGCCAGATCCGGATCACAGGCAGTGTGATAGCCCCCAGACCAACTCTTCTCAAATAGCTGGGGTGAGAGAGCAGGGTCCTGCTAAGGCCCAGTGTGGTCATCTGCAGGGGCACTGATGGAAAGGCAGCAGGGGGGGTACAAAAGGGTCCCTCTAGGACTGAGGGAGAGACCAGGGACAGGGAAAAAGGGCAAGAACTGTATGAACATCAAGATGGGGATCAGAAGGAGGATGCAGTGGAGGGAGTGCTGCTTTGGTTTTGTCAAGGAAGGGTACAAGAGCATGGCTGTGTCCTTTTAAGTGTTGTCTTGGGTGGCAAGAACAGCTCCGGGAAAGAGTCTCCCATTTCCACATCACCACTCCCTCAGTGCTGCTGTCCATGGGTGACCAGTGCCATGGTGTCCATGGCCTGCTGGATGCTGCAAGACTAAAAGCATGTGTCCAGAAAACAGATAGATGTATTTTATTGAGTAGGTGGTTTGTGGTGTTCTGATGTGGTATCTCTGGGGAGGGTACAGATGTAAGAAAGGCTAGGGAGCTCAACACTCATTTCCTAGCAGGCAAAATCTGTCCCTTTTCTACTCTGTCATGGCTCTGGGAGGATTCAGGCTGTGTAAGTTGGGGGGTGCTCCGATTCTTGCTGAGTTCCAGAGGCTGATATATGTATGTGTACCATTAAATGTGCTGTCTAATTCAGTGTTGGTTGGGTCCAAGGCTGGCACTTCAGGGCTGTTCCCTAAGCTGGTGGATGCCCATAGGGCTGGGTCCTGGCCCACAGCTGAGCTCAAGTGACTCCTGGGTCTGCTGTGCCCTTTTTCAAGTATGATGCTGTGGGAGTGAAGGTCTCTTGTGATATCACGCTGCTCTGTGCTACAGCTAATTAAAGTCATTGTGAAGGGCTTTGTAGTAATTGCAGATATTCTAAAATTTAGTTTTGTGGGTAATTGGTAATATAGGCCTGAAACAAGCTGTCCATAAAATATTTTAGTTTGGATCTCCCAGTAGGAGCAGCCTTTAATAGGAAGGCTTTTTTGTGCGAAGCAGGACCAGAATTAATGGCAGCATTTAGTTGTGCCTAAAGGGGTGCTTGCTGTGGCAGGTGGCAGGGTGGTGTAATTGATGATGCTTACACTCTGTGTGCTGCAGGAGGCTTCAGCAGCCATTAGCTGCTGTACCTGACAAATGCCATCTAGGGAGAGCGAAATGCCTGGTGCAAAACCCACCCAGGGTTGATGTATTTCCATCCAAAATGAAGGTGGCCCCTTCAGTTTTTAGGTCAAATAGAGCGGTTCAGGCTCTGTCTGCTCCTACGTGCTTAATATGCACTATGAAGTTTTCAAACATCCTTAATTTTCCAGTAAAATGCTGTATTTATAAATCTCAAATGTGAGGAAAACCCTAATGCCATGGGAACCTGCAGCTACCCAGCCATGGGCTGGGCTGAGCTCCCTGCAGCAAGGGCTGCAGCCAGATCTCATCCTTCTGCTCCAGGGTGCCCAGCAGAACAAGGAGAAGTCAAGGACCAGCGCTGTAGTGCTTTGGGTGCTAAACAGCACAGGGGGGTACTTAATGGGCACGTAAACAGCTTAGGCTCCTAAGTTGTGGATTTAAATGAGATTTAGGTGCCAAACCTTCCCTCATGCATTTGAAAATCCCACTCAACACCTCTCTGAACACTCAGGCAAGTAAAGATTACTGAAAATCTGGCCCTTAGACACCAATACAGCTGGTGTGTCTGGAATTAGCAGTTTAAAAAGAAGTGCTGGCTCATGACTAAATGGAAGACATTTGGGAAGAGCAAATATTGAAGATGCTATAAAGAATCAGAATAAGAATTTAATTCAAGGCTGATAATTCCATGAACAACTTGTTCATGAGCAAATGCCATTTCTGAGCTCATATATCAGTAATAAACTGTTTTCTGATAACACTGGAGGACTCAGACAATTCTGAGATCTGTGGGAGTCCTCTCTGCTGTTCGGGGGGTAGCTGGGTTTGATGCTCTGCTCTGCATCACAGCATGCACCAGTAGCAGTTGGCCTGGGGGGCAAGGAAATGCTTAGTGGGCTGTTTAGAAACGATAGTCTGCAACATATTTATTTTAATAAACATGAAAAATCAATGTTTTTGTGGGGTGAAAGCTCACAGCTGAGTTTTCCCATTCTGCTTTAATATTTGCAGCATGACAGAGGTGATGAACACACGGGAACCGGTTATGGAGGAATTTGCTCTCAGCCAGACTCCTGAGGAAGAAGGAGGCCCTTCAAGTCAGGTAACTTTAGCAAAAACTGAAAAATATCCTGAGTTGCTTTTCAAAAGCAATTTAATGCAACCAATAACTGTCATACATGTAGATGCTGAATTGCAGAGCACAGCTGACAGAAGAGCAAGCCCTGAAATACATGTGTGATCCTACTTAGGGTTTATTTTTAAAAGGTAAGAGTTCTGGCAGGAGGTGTTTGTCAGGTTCCAGGTCTTGGTGGCATGGTGACAGCAGTGCCTGGTTTCTGTGGGAATGCAGGCAAAGAGGCCATCACCAAGAGTTCAGATCTGAGCAATCATCATGTGATAGAGATGTCCAATCAATACTGTACCACAGCTTTTCTACAGCCACCCTTGTGATGAGCTGAGTTTCCTCAGGCTCAGAGGGAGCTCCCTTTCTAGAAAAGAGACCATTTGAAATGATTGTGTAATTCACTTAAATGGCTGTGGCATCGTAGCAGCAGCACTGGCCAGGGCCATTTGCTGGCAGGTGCAAGAACATTTTCAGTCTCCAGGCAGTCTCCTGCACCCACTCATGGACCCGCCTGAGGAGCCAATTCCAGCAGGAGACATCACGACGTCCTGAGACCCCTTTTGACAGCTCCCGCACTGTGGTTGTGCTCGTGACTCTCATTGTCACTGCCAGGGACAAACCGCCTAAAAACGTGTCCTGATGGAGCCGAGCTGTCTCTTGGCATAAGGTGTATTATTGCAGGCAGACTCAGAAAACCACCCTAGGAGCAGCCTGTTTCAGGTTCAAACCAAGCACCTGGAAGCCAGGGAAGTCAGAACTGAAATTTTGCAAATTCCTTTCAGATCACTTGTGCATGTAATGAAAGGCTGCATGCAGTTAAAGAGTGTACCATAAGCTTTCCCATGCCTCATTGACCACACCAGGATAGATGCTGCTCATTCACTTTTTCAATATTCTCTTTTCTCTTTTTTACCTAGTGCCAGGTTTTCATTACTGTGTTAGTGTAGACTGCCTAAACTCTGCCAGCTCCAACTTGACTTATGTATTTAGGGCAGTTCTATGGTGTCCCTGGTCATATATTCTAGAGGTTTCCCCCTCCCAGCTCCTTTACCCTTCTCCTCTGGGAGAAGGCGGTCCCATCCACATGTTAGTGATGGCCACCTGAGGCAAAAAAGCAAACAGAAATGAGAGGCAGCCCAAAGTCAGTGACTCAGTGGGAAAACTAGATTTCTTCTAGCAACTTCCAGGCACTCTGGCCAGGAGACCGGCCCTTCTCTTCCTGCAGTCTCCTGCCCACTCGTCACACACTCCAGCTTCCGCAGCAAAACACAGCGAGACCCAACAGGCAGCTCTGCTTCCTGCAAGTCCTGACTCATTCCTGGAGGGACATGGTAAATACTGGGCCCCAGTGGAAGAAAAACATTATGTGATTGGTGTGAGAAAAGTCCATATGAGAAAGAAATAAATAAAAACAGCCAAGCTGAGGCCGCACAGGTGCCTTGCCTAAGTTCTGTTTCAGCCTTAATAGTTGGCTCTTAGCGTATTTTTAGATCAGTGTGTGTCATTTCCTGGGGCTTCAGAAAGCAGATGAAAAACCAGGCATTTCATTGCATCGGATCCCCCAGCCAGGGGTTGCCAGCAGGCTTGGGGACAGGGTGGCTGTCACACAGCCTTCTTACCACCCAAGCAGGCTGAGCAGCACCTCATATATGCAGCCCTGGGAGGAAGTAAGTCAATTTGCCCACTATTTCATGGCTATTTTCTGCCACTGAGGCATGAGGCTCAGGGAGGTGGGCTCTACCTTAGGTCTGAAGAAGAGCTCTCTGCTGCTCACAGGTGTCTCTGGAGCTCTCCTGGCCAAGGAGATTTTACCTTGTCTGACATTTGGAAATAGCAGGAGTGTATTAGTAGCTTCTTAAAAATTCCTCCCAGTCAAGCCAGCTGCCATGGAAATGTCTTTCCAAATTATAAACAGCTCAGGAGGAGGCTGTGTAATGGTAAGTTTGGGGGAACTTTTCTGATAGGCAGCATGAACAACATTGCTTGATCAGGACAAGTTAAACCCTTGTGGGTGCAGCTCAGGGAGGCATTAGAAAGGTTTACCTTAAGTGATTCACTTGGTCTAGTTGCACTGAAGGGCTTTCTCACAAAGAAATGTCTTCTTAATTGTGTCTCATTTTGCAACACAAATAATAACATACAGCATTTTTCATCTTTGTGTAGATTTGCAAAGAGTAATGAATCCTTGAAACACTACCATAGGGAGTGAGGGTATGAGGATGAGAATTACTGTCCTTCCCCATCTTCGGAAGTCAGATACAGGCATAGCAGCAATGATAAAAATGTGCTTAGTGCTTCCCAGACACATAGGAAGAGAGTTGCCTTTCCTAAGGTCTTGCATCCCCATACCAGCTCTGATGCCAAGTGGGACAACTAAACCCTAAGCTCTTAGAGAGAGCAGCTACTGGGATGAAGGAAAGCTGCAAAAGCCATGGAGCAAACACCTCCAAGTGGGTTATGACAGCCTCGGGTCCCTGGCAATGCCCTTCAGGATATGCTCAGCTTGATGGTGGTTAGGGAATATCTGTGTGTTTCTCCCTGTGCTCATAGCAGGAGCTGTGTTGAGACTGGCTCACACAACCAGCAGCACTCAGTCTAGCCAGAGACCCTGATACAATAGTGAATGTGTTGCAGGTGTGTGGGGTAGTTCCCCTCAGCAAGCAGAAAACCAGTGTTAAATTCCAGGCATTGCCTGGACTTTAATTTAAGTGGAATAAACCAAAACAAAATAAGATAAACTCCACCCGTATGGAGAAATTTACAGCCCATTAGTGCAGGTATATGGAAGCAGCCTGGAGATGAGGTTTCAGTGAAGCAACAACAGAGTTTGTCTTACGTTAACATCCTGAAGGAGCTGGAATGATTTTTCCTAAAAAAAAACCCAACAACCCAAAACCAATCAAACAAAACCAAAGCAAACCCCAACAGAAAAAAAAAAAACCAAACAAAAACCAATCCAAAACAAAGTACTCTCTTGTACTGAGAGATTTAAATGAACCATCAATGTTGAAAACAAGAAAGCACTTCTATGTGCTACACTATCCTTCACTAAAAAGACCTAGTTCAGCTTCAAGCTCTAACTGCTGCACAGTGTTTGACCTGCAGCTTCAGTGTGACAAATTAAAATAGTAGCTTGAACCACCCTCTGTGTAAAGGTGATATCTGGGGCTATTGTTTTGCATGAACGCATCATAAAATACAACGTTTCACATTACAGAAAATAGCTCTGCAGAATGGTGGCTTCTTAATAAACTGTCACTCCAAGAAAACATGATCTCAGAGTAAAAAACCAACAGCTAGAAGGGCTGCAGCAGCCGTTTAGCTTATGACACAGCAACAAACCTTGTGTCCTAAAACCCCACCAGAACTGAGACATGAGTATTTGGCAGCATAATGAATTTTGTCACCTAAGTCTCCATTTTCACTATGCATGTCAGGTCACACAAGTCAAGGCAATCGTCTGCCTGACACACTGGAAAGCAAAGTTGGTTCTTTGCCCAGGAAGGGACAGCATGGGCAGAGAGAGTGTGCTGAGACCTATAGCCCCTCCATGCCCATGGCCAGGAAGAAGCTGGATTCAGCTTTTCTTGAAATCCTCCCTGTGCAGGACTGTTGCCCTGTACCAGTTTGAAGGGGGGTTTTAATAGGTGTGGGAGTGCATGTCAAATGCAGAAGGGATGCTAAGATGGAGCAGGTACTCTGCTCTGAACATGCAACCCTGGGCAAGGCTTGATAGATGCGTACCCAAATGTCTCACCAGGCCTTCCCAGACTCACGTGAGAAGTACCCCAAGCTGTCCAAAAGACTGCCATCGATTGTAGTGGAGCCGACTGAGTCCGGGGATGTGGAGAGTGGGGAGCTGCGCTGGCCTCCTGATGACCTGAAATCAGCAGAGGACAAGGGTCTTCACGGTGACCAAAGAGTCTGTGTCCAGCAGCAGCAGCAGCAGCAGATGGATCTGGAAGGTCTGAATGAGTAATTTTCATCCCAGTTCCCCATAGGAAAATAGCAGTTTCAGGCTATGCCATGCACTGAAGTTAGTAGTGTACCAAAGAGCAGTAGGTGCTTGAGGGTGCCCAGGAACACTTGCACTGGAGAGGGAGTCCTGTGGACTGAAAATTTCCTGTAGCTTTAGGGCATATGGTGTTTTCATCTGCATCAGGCTCAGCGCTGGCCATTTGCATGACCAGCAGGCCGTTCACTGCACATCACCAGTTCACCCTAGAAAACTGTAAAACTGCTTGATAGTATTTATCTATCTCCTTGCCTCGAAGCAAAGTGTTTAACAGCTGCACATATGTAAATCATCATGGTATTCCACGAGCACATTAGTGTAGCAGGAGCTCACAAATACGTAGATATGAGTCGTGATGTCACTGTGGGGAAATTATGGCTAAGGGTAAGAGCTGGTTGGAGTGTAGCTTGCATGGAGTGGAGGGGGGTGGCAGTGCTGGTGGTTAACTGCTAGTTTGCAAGTAGAAAAAGTTGCTCATGTCAGGTGGGATCACTGTAATGGATTAGCTTCCTGATGGAGCAGGGAATCAAAGGCTGTTGTACCTGTATGGGGAAAGAAATACTGAAGAGCCATTTCTCTGCAGATACTTCAGCACACCCAGCTAAAGAAGTGGAAGGCAGTACAGATACTGTGGAAGGCAGAACTGAAGAGGATGAGTAGAAACTCTGCGGGCTCAGAAGTGAAACTTCAAGTTGTGAATGTTGTTGGAAAGCCGACACACTTTGAAGACATGTCAAAGTAACCTGTATTTAAATCTGCAAGGGTTTTATTTAGTTAGTACCTGGTAAGAAGCATCTGGGCTTTAGAACTGTTCTTTTAAACATCTTGATTTTTAGGCTGGGATTCATGTAATTTGTTTATTTTTTCCTTGGGAAACAGTGGGGCGTGTTAGGAAATACGAGATTATCAAGGGAAAAATGCTCCTAATTTCAATTAGCACATTTCATTGGTTTTACCTTTTTCAAGCAAGGCTGCTTTCAGGTATCAACAGCAGGACAAAGGGGTTAGATTTCTACAGGAGGGATGTCTTAAACCTAAAACCTTTCTTGATTTTAGCCATTGAAAACTAGCACTGTGATATTATGGACAATAGATGTAATATAATGTCACCATTTGGTTTTGTAACTTTTGTATAGAGATGCAAGTGTAAGATTTGCCTCCAGGCTGCCTTTCCAGGGGAGCCCAGAGCAGATCTCTCCCTTTGGCTAACCTGTGCAAATTTGGATGAACCAGCCTTTTATTAGCCGCCTTTTCAGAAGCGCTTTCTTGCTGTACATTGATGAAGCAGATAGCTAGTCGCTGGTGCTTGTGGAGTGAGGCTGTCTGTGGTAGGCTTGATCAGGTGGATTGTGCTGTTCGTGTGCATTTCAGGACCAGGTCCACCTGTGGCGTGGAGTGAGCTCCCCTCCCTTGAAGCCAACAAGGTGGCTCCCGCTTCCACCAGGGTTGGATTGGTCCCACCTTATTAATAGAACTTGTTGTGACAATTCTCCTTTTGGTATGTTTTGTGTATACCATAGGTGCAGAGCCCCAGCTGTTTCTCTTTTCACCCAAGCCTGGCGGTGGTTGGGGGTGGGTGACAAGAGCTCAGTAACACAGCCCAAACCTACCCTCCATTGTGCATGACACCAGGTCCCACTCAAGCCACCCGCAGTAGGAGAGGGGTGGAGAAGGGCTGAGGTGGTGGGACACACACCACCTCCCTCCTGCACAAGCGGTGCTGCCAAGGAGAGTGCATGTGCCAGGGTCTGCCGTCACCCGTGGCATGGCTCACTTGGCTGTTTAGATGCACAGCCACCATGGAGACCAGAGCTCACGGTGGGACAAGCTGTCTCTGGACACTTCTGGTCTCCAGTGGATTTTCCTTGGGCATTTGGGCGTCATTTTGACAGGGGTGAACTCTTTCCTGCATGGTGACCTCCCAGAGACTCACTCCCACCAGGAGGAACACTGGTCTCAGCCCAAAACACTACTCTTTAGACAGTGTTAGTGGAGACAGACAATGTGTGTACTCAGAAGGGTTTAATGCATGTACTCAGAAGGGTTTGAGTGTCTCAGTGACAAGTGTCCCATAAGCTAAGAAGTTGGCTTTCTCCATCTCTGCAGGGCTGGCTAGGGGTCTGTACTTCCAGTTAATGTTGCAGCTGGAAGAAGCCTCTAGCTGTAGGTGGAATGAAATAACAGGATTTCTTCTACCATTAACTCCTAAGTTGACTTCAAAGTGCTTTCTTTTCTCTAGTATTAATTTTCTCTAATGGAAACTTTTAATTGTGTGATGGTGGATAAAATTTACTGGCCAGATGTATTAATAAGATAAGTTTATACCTTCTTAGCAACCAAATTTAATATATTTACTTACAAAGAATTCTGTGCAATGAATGTTTAATACAAAGGAAAGAGACTATTTTACTTCAAAGCAACATTAATTTATGTACAAAACTATAGCTCATTATTTGGGGTGTTTGGGATCTTGGACCCTTTTTATAAGCAGTGTAGTATAGTATAATGTGATACTTAAGTTAAATTTTGCTCTCATAACCTATATCACAATCTGTTTTGCCTTCTTGATGTAGACTTTCTTACCTACACTATCACAGAGTTATTCTGTTGGATGAGTGGGGCTCTGGTGAGAGCACTGAATTCCACCAGAGTAACTGACAGGTTCGAGAACACCTCTTAAATTTGGTTGCTCTTCCTGTCACCTCCTTCCCTGGGGACAGTTTCCTCGTAAAGAATCAAGTACAAGCTCGAGCTACATGTTTGGGTGGCACATGAGCAGTGAGAGGAGGTCCTTGTCTGGGACCAGTCTGCAGCTGGTTGCGGCAGGAGAGCTGCACTGGTGAGGTGGCCAGGCAGATGCGAGGTGCTCTTTAAATGCTGCTGTTTTATTGTCCGTCAAGAGGTTTTACAAAACTCTAGGGGAAAAACAACAGTGGTGACGACATATTTTTAGCTATGTGATTTCCTTTCAATCTGCATCTGCCCAGCTCCATGAGGAATGACGTTAGACGTATCACTTAATTTGCTTTTCACTTTGTAAAAGGAAAAACAGTTGCTTGAACACTTCCCCCAATTTTATGTGCTCTCTATCTGCTTTCAGACGCTCCCTCCCTTCCTGCTCTGGATGGCCCTTATCCTATTTCCACCTGAGGTCAATGGCACTTCCCTAAATAAGTTTTCCAAAGAAACAACAAAATTCTACATACACCATGAAAAAACTCCACACAGCACTACTTTTTTTACCCTGCTACGTAAAGCTACAGCCCATACAGAAATCTCAGATTTCCTCCTCCCAGCTTAATTACTCCTCTCTTTCCTTTTCCCTCTTTTTCACTGCTCCCTTGAAATATTTTATCTGAAGCAAACGGATGCTTCAAACTAAAGCTTTCTCCTAAAGCTGTGTGGCCTCAGTTTAACAACCACACAAAGCCAAACTCCTCCTCCCATTTTTATTGTTCTGAACATCAGCCAGAGGCCCTAAACTAGGAGAGCAAGATATAGAGAGAAATTGTTTTATACAAATAAGCCCTATTTATTCTACTTGCAGGTCTATGAATGTCCACTTACTTTGTCTGTGTGCAAGTGTTGTCTCTAATAAACTCAATTAGTTGTTTTGTATTTTTCTGGATTAAAAGCTTTGTAGAACCTAAAAAGAGAAAAAAAGACATTCAGTCATATTTTTCTAGTTGAGCTTGTAGAATATTTCATGTAGTGCAGAAAGGAGGTTTTATGGAGTAAGACATTGTTGGATTTTGCTCTATTTCGGTTCTTTCTAATTTTGTAAAATGCCACCTGTACATAATACTCAACTAATGTATGTCCTGTAGATGTATTACACCATTTAGCCTATTAAATGCCTATATTGGACCTACTGGAAGAAGTGGTATACTCAGAGTGTCTTGGTTTAAAGAAATGCAAAGGTTTATTTGTGGTGGTGTGCAGCTCCTGTCCTACCACTAATACTACCAACACAGGGGAACAAAGCTTGCTCTAAGCTTGCCTTTGCCCCGTGGCATGCAAATACTCATGCTGGCCATCCATCACACATGCTCCTACACAGATAAATTCAGATTTATGTCAACAGCAGTTGTCATCTCCGTCTCTTTCCTTCGAGCACTTCCTAGACCAGGCTGCTCAACGCTCACTGATTCTATCTTGGGATTTTCTTGCTCCCCCTCACCCTGGGTGGTACAACACCTTATGTGCTGTGCTAGCAGCGAGCCAGTTGGCTCATCTTCATTCACCATTAATGCAATGCACATTTTTAACGTTTTCTGGAAAGGCTATTGTGGAGCCCAGAAGGAACTCACGTTACTAGAAACCTATACCCTGTGCAAGGAGAGCAGGGTCATGTGGCAGAGAAGATGAGAAGCAGAGATAATCTGCCATGGAACAACCAATTTTATCCCAAAATGTCAAGTTACCAAAAAGTAAAGGATCAGATAACTGGAGGGTGAGACTGCCTCTTACTTTCCCAGTTCAAAAGCAGCTGCTTGCTGCTTGCTGAGATGAGTATACCAGCATGGCAAAAAGCATTGCTTGGGGTCAAAGCCAATTTTTTCCTGCCTGCCACTGCAGGTCTGTGCCTGATAGTCATGGTGCCATGGTTAGGGACATTTTCTGTGTCCCAGACTGGAGGCAACGAGCCCAGCTTTGGCACTGCAGCGCTTGCAAACCTGATGCTTAATGTCACCCAGTACTGGAGTTTCCATGCACCATGCATGGAAAATCTCATGTCCAGGCATATATTACCCTGGGGCTGGGGTGGTAGAAGGACTGACACTGCCTACTTTTCATCTCCCTGGGAGCCATCCCTTCCTTCTAGGGTTTTCCTCTGTGATGTATGGTGTTCAGCCATGTAAGGCACTACCTGATGGCTCCAGGGGCTACAATTTCAACTAGTGTCAGTTTTATGTCACTGTGAGATCTGTGCTGAATCCTGGATATTCTCTTTCCATGATTCTAAAGGCAGGGGGAGATTATCTGCAATTAATTATATAGGATGAGGATTGCAACACCATTGTCTTGCTCTTCTATTTTACATCGAAATCCACAGGATCCTTAGGTTCATTCAATGTTATCGCATTGACAAATTATGAGACATTTTCATTTATCTTTAATCAGACATCTGCTCAGTAGTTTTTTATTTCAGATGTATTCTGCTTCACACTCCTGTCTAAAGGAGCAAACAACATTTTCAGTGCAATTAGCCTTTATTTAAACCACCAGGAAGAGATGGAAACTGGCTTTTATGACGTTAAGCTGAAAAATGTCACATCTAAAGCAAATCAATCCTAATTTGCGTTTTTACCATTGTTTTCTCTCTCTCTCTCTTTTTTTTCTTTCCAAATCCAATATTTGTGTGAACTCTTTTGTGGAGAAAGGTGATCCCCAGCAGCTACAGGGAGCCATGACTCCCACAACAAACAGCACATCCCTCACATTCACATTATAAAAGCTGTTATTCATATGCACTGCCTCTATCACAAATTAGAGCAGGGAACCCTTCTTCCCCTTGTCTTTGAAACACAGTGTGGTTTCCATTTTGGAGACAATAACCTTCCACAGTTTAAACTCACTCAGTTCTGGAAATCTAGGATTTTAACAAAGTTTCTGTTTTTCTGTCTTTAGGAAAAAACAACCACAAACAACAAACCCAAACCCAAACAAACCAAACCAACAACAACAAAACCAAACTCCCTGAAACATCAAAAAGTTGCAATTTTCCTTTAAGAACGTGGATAAAACATTTCCTTCCATTTTCTCTGACATTTCTTCCATACAGTCCAAAAATTGCACACCTGACATTAGATTTCTGTTCTGCAGACCCCCCTGAGCCCAGCTGGGAGGATAGGCAGGAGTGGAAGAGCAGGGACCTTGAGGGAGGTGAGGACATAGATCAGGAGCTATTCTCCTCACACTTAGCTTTCAGACCCCACACTTACACTACGAAGGGCAAGAATCTTTTCATTCTGCCTGACAATTCATACCCAAACACCAAAGGAGATCTGTTTAAAATGCCTGCAATTGCAGTGAGTCCAGCCATTAAATGAATGTTTGCAATCAAGCCAGCATTCAGCTTCGGCATGGTTCCTGGTGTGTGACAAATTCTCTTTATGAATTAGTCATTTAATTTATGAAACATTGGTTGGATATTGTCACATACCCACATGTCCTTCATACCCCTGACAACTGTACCCCTACGCATTTACTATTCAGGAGGCAATGAAGCCATGAAAACCCCTGGGACTGGGATGCTGCTGGGACATACAGCCAGACCCAGGAGGTGGTGAAAGCTCCAGATACCATAGAGCTGGAAACCTAAGAATAATTTATTGTGGCTGTTAGCTATTAACAGATGATGATTTGAGCAGGGAGAAATAGCACAGGTACCTATCCCATCAATCCAGCCTTCCCTTGGCAGCCCCATAAATCCTCCTGGATTAGCATTTCAGGATGGTGAGGTCTTGCAAGTAGAGAACTGCAACTGAAAACACAGGGGCAGAACAAAATAAACTGAACATGGGATCAAAACCAGCAACTCAGGTACTATTTCACTGGTCCGGGTCTTTAACTCTTAGCTCGGGTGTGTAAGGCAAGCTTTTTATCCCCAGATTTACAACAGAGGCAGAACAAAGTGAACTGGACACAGACTTGTCTCCATGCAGCTATGGAGCTCACCAGCTCTGGAAGCAGGATGGTTAATGCTTTAATTCTTATTAGCCATGTCTAGCCACTAGCCCTCCTGTTCCCCAGCAGGACACACATGTCTGGAGTGGCTCATCCTCCCCCTCCTCATGAACCCAAGGGCTGGGACGTTCTGCAGAAGAGGCTTAAGTGGGAACAATACTAAAAATAAGATGGGGTTTGGGATTCTAAACACCAGGAGGATTTGGTACTTGAAGCACAACCAGAAAACATGAGCAAAGGCAAAGCAGCCATTTGACTCCTCATGGCCCCAACAGCCTCCTTCTAGCACAGTCTCTCTCTCTGGACCAAATGCAGTGTCCTTGGTTACCTTTAATGACCCCTTAGTGTAGGGACTCTTCTCACACAGAAGCTGTGTCTCTCAAGTGTGATCTAACTAAGGAGACACATGTGAATTCCCTAGTTCACATAGAGGCCAAGGTGCTGCTTCCTATTTATAGCTGGCTGAGTTAAATAAAGTGCTTTATTCATGCCTAAGTTTTTACATGAATTCCAGAGAGGACAAAGGGCCTTGTGTCTTTTTCCCCACCCTTCTATTTTCTTTTTTTTTTTTTTGGCCTAGTTTGTACATGCAGAGCTAAGACTTGTTCCAAGAGTGATTCAAAATAAGACTAGAGAATTATTTGCTGGCTCAGCATGAAACACTGTCCTGCTAGAAATCATCTCTGTGATTTTCATATGCATTCTGAGAAAAGAAGCTATTAAAATAATACAAAGTTTTGATATGTTTATACAAACCCTGCTTGCAGATCCACTGATAAAAATCCTCTAAATCTGCTGGCATTGCTTTGGGTCCACTGCAGCTGAGGAATGACTTAGGGTACCAAGGCAGAGAAAAAAAGGCATAAAATTGAGGGCATTTTAAACTCCTGCTTTATAGAAATGCTCACTAATATATTGAAATATGCAGAGCAAGAGATGGTGTTTATCATGCTAAGCTGCTGACCCAAGGAAGTCCAACTGTCTGAGTCAATATGGATTTTATTGCATTCTTCAAAGTTTTTCTGATTTCTAACAGTGATGTGTGTCCTTCTCTCCATGTAGAGACACAGTGCTTTTGGGTGCTGCTGTTTGAACAATGCAGAAAACTACATTGCTTAGGTGTTTGCATTTCATTTCAGCAAATAAGAAAGAACTGATTCAACTCACAAATAACTCAGACATGCAATTACCTGGTTTCTGCAATAGGTGATTCTGTCACAACCTAGCATCTGGCTCCAGTCATGATAACCACTAACGTATTCCAGCCAAAGCTTTCCTTCCAAACGATTCGATTTTAAACTCTTCAGGGTAGCAACTGCCTTTTGGTTGCTTTGCATTGGAAGCACCTGCACAGTGCCTACAGCAGTGGGATCCTGTCTGCAAGCAGGAGAGTCCCCTGTGGTGGGAGGAAGCCGGCAGGAAATACCTGAGTTGCTTGTACCCACACAGAGGTGCGTGATCCATACCCTGCCCAAGGCTCAAGCTGTGCCTGCCTTGCTCTGGGGCAGCTTTTGGCATAAGGCCCCTCTCCCTAGAAGCCTGACCAGAGAGGGAGCTGCCAGCAGAGCCCAGCTGGGTGGGTGAGCTGTATCCAGCAAGGACAAAACCAGCAGGGTTTTGCTGTGTTCTCCACTGTAGGTGCCTGGGGCCAAATTGAGAGTGTGTTGAGACCGAAGTAGACAGGTGAAATGATCCAAGAGCTGCCCAACACATTTGTCTAAAAGTCAAATAAAAACATCAGCTCTGAGTCTCTCCAGTTATCTTTCCTGAATACTCTTGAGTTGCCAGGAAAACCATAGACAAATTAAATAATTTGTTCCTTTTTTAATTTTTTTTTTATCCAGAGAAGCTCACATGCATTTCTATGAAGACATAAAGTGATTCTTCCATGCAGAACTCTGCCAAGAGCTGTGCTTGTTATTCCAGATTTACAATAAAAAGTGTTGTGCAAATGACCTAGATACATAGAGTACAGCACTTAAGTAGGGATTTGGATAAATCCAGCACACATATCTAATCAGAAAACATACATAGGCTTGGGAAAACACTGTGGTATGGTGTCACAGAGTCTTAATATACAGGTGTGCGTAGGTTACAGAGGAAGAGACAGGCAATACTGCATTAATGCTGTAAACTGTCTTTTGTATTGGTTTGTAACATCTGCTGGCCAAAGGAAAGAGCTAGGAGCAT